TTCCCTGCGCCGACCTCGGGGGGGGAGAGCGACGGTCGGCGTGTTTTTCGCCCGGAAGAAGTCCGGCCAGCAGAGGGTCATTTTCGACACCCGCCTCGCCAATTGCGACTTCGAGGCGCCCCCTGTCAACCCATTTGCCATCAGCTCGGGCGCTCGCCAGGATGGAGACCCACCAGTGCGACGTGGTGCGGTGCAGCTCGGGTGACATCCAGAACGCGTTCTACGCCATCGAGGTGCCCGAGAAGCTCGACTCGAGTTTCAGGCTCCCCAGCGCGCGAGGTGGCGCAGCGGGTCTTCGAGGCTCTGCAGGCGCCGCTATGTACACGCCGGTGCTGACCGTGCTGCCCATGGGGTGGAGCTGGGCGCTGCACCTCTGCCAGCTGGTGACCGAGGAGGGCATCTCCCGGGGCGGGCGTGGCCCAGGCGCTCTTGTGAAGGACCGCGAGGCCGCGACGCCGCTGGGGCCTTCGAGGCCGCTGGCTGCTGCAGGCTATGTGGACAACTACATGGTGATGGGGGGGCCTCGAGCGAGTCGCGGCTGGCGGGCAGTCGGTCGCCTCCGCGCTGAGGGCCCAGGGGTTCGTCATCCACGAGGAGACCGACGGGGCCGCGTGCCAGACGGACTCTGAGCCTCAGCTTCGACGGCAAGGGGCGCGGGATCGAGATCTCCACAAGGCGGATGTGGCGGCTTCGGCTCGCCATCGATGAGCTGCTGAGGCGTGGCTCTTGCTCCGGACACGTGCTGGAGATAGTCGTGGGACGCGCCGCGTGGATCATGGCGGTTCAGAGGTCCACGCTGTCGATCTTCAGCTCCGTCTACCCCTTCATCGAGATGCCGGGGAGCGAGACTGGCACTCTGTGGACCTCCGTGAAGGAGGAGCTGGAGCACGTCAGGAACCTTCTCCCCATGACGGTCGCGCACACCAACCGCAGCTGGCACGGCAAGGTGACGGCCAGCGACGCCTCGCATTGGGGCTGTGGGGTCTGCGAGCGGATCGCGCCGGCGGAGGTGGTGGCTCGCTGGGGCCGCACTGCCGAGCGGCGGAGGCATCGCCAGGGGGCGACCGCTGCCCGCGCGCACGCCTTCGACGGGGAGGCCGAGAGGCTGGGCGACGCGCTGGTCCAGGACGACTTGCCGGACAGCTTGAAGCAGGCCGAGGAGCACGCCAGGGCGTTCGACATGATAGACAAGAACTTCACTTGCCCCAAGGCCTGGCGCATCGTCGAGTCCCTTCAGTGGCGGGGCCCGGCGAACATTCTTCGGCTTGAGGGGCTCGCTCTGTCCGACTCGCTTCGCCACCTCCTTCGCGATCGAGGGGCCTTCGGCCATCGTCTACTGCTCTTGGTCGACAACCTCGGCCTGGCCCTCGCGGCTGGGAAGGGTCGCCCGGCCGCGTTCCAGCTACGAGATATCCTCAGGGAGATTTCGGCGCCCACTCTCGCTTGTGACATTCAGGCGCGCGTTCGCTGGGCCCCGTCTGAAAGGAACCCGGCCGACAACCCTTCGAGAGGACTCTACTTCCTCAAGTCGCAAGACGAGGTGGACGGGCCCCCTGGTCTGGCTGCTGGTGCTGCTGGGGCTGACCTTCCAGCCGTGCCATGCTTCCCGCCCCTCGGCAAGGCCCCACCCGTGCGAGACGACCTCGCCGAGGCCGGCGGCGGTGGCCTGGACGGAGATGCTGGGAGCAACGCGGTCGGCAGTGGCTGCAGCCGCGCGAAGGACCCGATGCCATCCGCCATCAGCAAATATGGAGCCCCCCCGGGCTCGTTCCCGCCCACCTTCCGAGGGTCTCGGTCGGTGGCCAAGGCAACGTTCACCGACTACCAGAAGCGGTTGGTGATCTTCTTCGCCTGGGCCGTCCAGACGTCCGCGACGTGGGCGGCCGTTGGGGAGCTCGATCAGGCCTTGGTGGAGCACAGGGACCGCCTCTTCTTCCTGGGCTGCCTGAGCGACGTAGCCAGCAATACCCTGGCAGCGGTGAGGTTCTTCTACCCAGAGGCCGGCCGGCACGGCGCCCAGAGACCCCCCCGCGCGGCGCAGGCGCTGGCGGGCTGGAGCGAGGTGGTGCCGCGCACCACCAGGATGCCTGCACCGCGGTTGCTAGCTGCTGCGCTGGCGGGGTACGTGGTCGCGAGTGGGCTGCTGGAGCACGCCATCGCGCCCCTGCCGGCGTTCCACAGCTACCACCGGTTGGAGAAGTGCGACGCCATCGCGAGCCTGCAGCGGATCCTGCCGGGGACGGGCGCCAGCGTCGGGCAGCAGACGTGGGCCCTGCGACTGGGGTCGAGGGAGCTGGGGGCCCCGACGAAGGTGGGTGCCTTCGACGAGAGCACAGTGCTCGACGGCATCCCGTACGTGCACGAATGCCTGGCCGTCCTCAGGGCGACGCGCAAGTCCCCGAACGATCGGATCAGGAGTTTTCCGCGGAACGACTTGTTCAGGCAGAAACTGGCGTCCGCGGAGGCCCTCGGTCTCGAGGGCCCGGGCCTGACAGTCTGA